ACTAATAGTGGAAAACAGATTCTATACAAAGAGATACCCACCACAATTCGCTGTTCAGCTAGCTCATCGTTGATCCAGTAGATGAGTAAAGAGATTAGTTCGCGAACTTTGCGGTCCTCGCTTGACTCCTTAGTCAAGTAACGCCGTATTTCCCCTGAAAGAGCAGACATCTCTTTATTTTGCTTGTATGCTCAAAATATACGTTCTTACCTTCGTCAAGTGTTAAGTTTTTAGCCAGCGCTGGAACCAAACACGCATCAATAGATTCTTTACCTTCGATCTCAATCTATAAGTGCAGAGGTCTATCTAATTAATGCATTACCAACGGTAAGATCCAAGCAACATAGCTGTGCGTTACTGCATATTAACCTCAAGAGCTTCATCCTCTTCGTTCGGTTCTGGATTCTCATGTGATTTCTTTTTTCGGGTCAAAGTTCCGGTCAACTTGTCAACTATGGAATCATTCTAGAAAGAGGAACCATTAAACAACATAGTTCTGAGTTCCAAATCGTCATTAGTAGTCCAGAGTATGTACAGACTGCCGAAAAGAACCCACTTTCTTACTCCTCATTGTGTCTGTTGGACCAGGCGTTCGCCTCATAGCAGCCGACATTATCTGCAGCAGATGTAATCAAATATACATGCTCACATTGAAAGTAAGCTTGAAAATAGCGATTTTGCCCAATCACAAACAATCTTCGGGTGTTTTAATAAACAGCATAAGAAGTCCATTGTAAATAGTTCGGATTTTAATTAATGAACAGCATAAGACGCTAATTTTTTGGGTACGTTCTCAACGCAAATTAGCGTATCTCGCCTTAGTACTAACGATATTTTTTATTCCAAAAATGGGATTTCACTCTGATAGAGACCGCTTAACCGTCTCAAACACTGAAAAAATTATTTTCGTTTTTCATGTACAAAAAATTCGCAATTTGCCATCAGACTTTGCGCTTTTGGAGGGTGTTCGCACTTAATTAGATGGTCAACAATACTAACAAATTTTTGCATTTTCCTTACTTGCAAAGTAAAGAACCAGAAGCGTGACATTCAAAGCTAAATTCCCAATTCAAAGGAGGGCAGCACAAGTCCAGCAATCTAAACAGTCTCTCCAGCAGTCGGCCCGCACCTTCTGCGAATCTCAGAATGCAAATTTCTTTTTAGCAGAGCAAGATGTGCTTTATGCGCGACTGCGAGCCTTGGACTACATCTCACCTTTCAAAGTATATCATCCAAATTTCGCTTAAGAACTACATGGCGCTGCAACAGAGCACTCGAGCTGAGTGCGCTGACCTACGTAGGGATAGAGCTCAAGTTGAATTTAATTAGGAAACATTTCATTTCGCCTCTTCTCTCACTTTTACCCTATCAATCGAGTGCAAGCAATCATTGAAATAGCCAATTTTGACGACTTACAAACGTCAGAAGCAGTTCCAAATCAGGGCAGCATTGTTCTTTTTTCACAAAACTAATAGAACCTAATCATGCGGCATTTTTCGAATTTAAAATGTAATTTCACGGAAAAAATTTTGAAGGTCATAGAAGTAAACGTAAACAACAGCGTTGGAGGGAGCGCTAAACACTCGTAAGTAAAGGTGCCCTTATACATATTATAAAAAGAGACTGTGAAGACCTTCTCAAGAATAATTGAATTATTTGAAAAATGGTCTTGTCTGAGAATAAGTGAGTGATTCTTATATGCTGTTTTAGCAAGGACTACACAAATTCGAACCGCGAGCTAATTCGGAACTGCCCGGTATGTTGGCGAGAAGACGACTTTAAATACGTTGTTGACTAAATCGGCAGGTTTTGATCCTAAGCTTAGGATAGCAATTGTGAAGCATCTTACACATTCTTCCTTTGAGAAAATTCATTTTATACTATAGCGTCGATAGTCTAGAGACAAGATAACAAAAGTGATGGTGATTCCAATTCGGGCACTATGCAAAGAAAGATGGTGATTTTTGACAGAA